CATCCATCCATCCATCCATCCATCCATCCATCCATCCATCCATCCATCCATCCATCCATCCATCATCTTTACCCGCTTCTTTCTTTCTGGGTTGTGTGAGTCTGGTGCTCATGTCCTACAGTCACGGTATGAGAGGCAGGGTACAACCCTGCACAGGCCGCAAGTCCATCATAGAAAAGAATCATACGAATGTATTATTGTCTCTTTATTGTCCTAAATGAGAAGCTATAAAATATGTTGCATTTTGCAGCAAGTCTAGTTAATAAAATAGTTTTTTTTTACTTGGTTTATTTCATGTTTAGCTGGAACCTGTATTTGGGGTTTTGGACAACATGATGTTATCAGAGGCCAAAATTAAATAAGGATTTGCTTACATCGTTGTACGTCGTAACAGCATCAGATCTACAGGCTGTACTTACATCAGAGCATCAATTATCTGAAGGTGACGGCGTAATCTTGGCACAAATCATACACTGTTTTTATTGGGTGGGGGGGACAGCTGAGTTCTTATATGTGACAGTACAAATTACAGGTGAATGTATAACATCAATTACACAGACATGAGCTATTATCATAGAGACGTCATGTGTGATTGCACACACTGTAACACTGATTATTATTGTGTAGATGTCTAGACTTATCTATAGGTATCACGAGAGGTGCCACCGTGTTATTATTCTAATACAGTTAGATACTTGAACTCTAGATACACTTTAAAAGATACTTACTCATTTTAGATTTAGCTCACAAAGAACGAGAGCGGTTTTAGATGTTGATACAGAAACAATTTAAGATGATTAGTTATAGTCTTATAGTCTTTAGTTAGTATTGACTATCTATTTAAAAGTCCGACTCTACAAACTCGTAGATGGAAGAAATCAAAAGTACCTCATTTCTTTTTAATAAGTGAACAGAAGAAACCATTTAGGCTCTGCTTTAAAGGAGACTGGCTGTATTTTAAAAAGTTAGCTCAGTAAAACATCAAATCTCTGTCCAGATGAAGTTGTGCCACGTTTAGTAAAGTACATCCCCTGTAGCTGTTGTTTTTCTGACAATTGAGGATGCTGTTGGCAGTTTTTTTTTGTTTGTTTGTTTGTTTGTTTTGGTGCAAATTCTAAGCCATATTTTGCTGAATAAATAAAATTGTTACCTAGAGGGAGCTAAAGGGGCACAACAGGAATAACAAGCACACACACAGCAAAAACTCATCTGAAAGCAACGCCACAGAGCAGCATTTAACCCAGTGGAGTTAGTAAAAGTTGTCATTTTGTAGCTGCTGTTTTTCACATTTTCACAGAAACGTTGTTACACATTAAAAAAAAAAAACAGAAATCCTAAATAATACACATATTTAAGGTAAGTTGTACAACGAGTGTATCATATAGTCTGCCAGTTTGTTTTGAAAAGATTGCACAACTTATTAAATCTTTTTACTCACAGAATTACTTGTTTTCAGGCCTTTATCTGGAACTACGTTAAAAACAGACATCCCTGAGCAAAAATCAACATGAGCTCAGCTGTGATTCTTTTTCTAGTCTAAATGTTTGTCTTTTGACAGACGAGCAGCAAACAGCACCATTTGGATGTAGCATTTGAGCATTTTTCAACCAAACACCTTTTGAACCACATAAACTGGTATTATTGATGCAGACGGAACCAGTCCAGTGCTGTAGATGATTTCTGGCATTTCTTTCTCTGCAGTTTGGGATGCCAGGAGGTCCAGGAATTTGAACTGCTGACCTTCTGGTCACAAGGTCACCTTTTAGCAGCATTTGGCTACTGTCCTCCACAAATGTCTTTAGGCTACTCATGTCCATATCTTTCTCTTAAAGTGTGCCAAAAGGTTTGCATCAAGTTTCTTTTCTGAAGTCTACCACTTGCTGAAGGTATATATATATATATATATATATATATATTTGTAAGTACGATTGTCTGTTGTGTTAATTTTCCTACAGCGTAACCTAACATCCCAAATCTTCTGAACAAAGTCTTTTGAGAGTTACACACCCTCTGCAGTGGAGTGACATGTTTATCTTCTGAGGAAAGGAGGAGTGAGAGCTGAGTGAGATACTTTGCCTAAAAACAGAGTGCAGTAAGTGATAGTCAGTCCTGACTTGCTGAGACAGCCTGAGTCTGATGATACACATCAGTATGAGGCCAGTATTTTTAAATGGACAGTTTAATGGGACAAATCTAGACTCAACATGGCGCTCTTGGTTGTTATGTGGTTGTCAAGGAAATACAATGGTTTTATTTTAATCAATTTTGTACAGACCTGATAATCTGGATATCTGTTAAGAGACTTTTTCCAACTCAAGTCATCCTCTTGCGTGTGTGTGTTGTGTGTGTGTGTATCA